GAACCTTGTCCTCACCGTCAGAAACCTTGTCCTCAGCTTCTGGAACCTTGTCCTCAGCGTCAGGAACCTTGTCCTCAGCGTCAGGAACCTTGTCCTCAGCGTCAGCAACCTTGTCCTCAGCGTCAGGAACCTTGTGGTCAGCGTCAGGAACCTTGTCCTCAGTGTCAGGAACCTTGTCCTTAGCGTCAGAAACCTTGTCCTCAGCGTCTGGAACCTTGTGCTCAGCGTCAGGAACCTTGTCCTCAGCGTCAGCAACCTTGTCCTCAGCGTCAGGAACCTTGTGGTCAGCGTCTGGAACCTTGTCCTCAGTGTCAGGAACCTTGTCTTCGGCGTCAGGAACCTTGTCCTCATCATTAGAAACCTTGTCCTCAGCGTCAAGAACCTTGTCCTCACCGTCAGAAACCTTGTCCTCAGCGTCTGGAACCTTGTCCTCAGCGTCAGGAACCTTGTCCTCAGCGTCAGAAACCTTGTCCTCAGCGTCAGGAACCTTGTCCTCAGCGTCAGGAACCTTGTCCTCAGCGTCAGGAACCTTGTCCTCAACGTGAAGAACCTTGTCCTCAGCGTCAGGAACCTTGTCCTCACGTCAGGAACCTTGTCCTCACCGTCAGGAACCTTCTCCTCACCGTCAGGAACCTTGTCGTCACCGTCAAGAACCTTGTCCTCACCGTCAGGAACCTTGTCCTCACCGTTAGGAACCTCGCGAAAGGCCTCCGAAGTTTTTACTCTTGTGCAATCGAATGAGATCATATAAATTTGATTATTGCGTATCATGTTTATTATGACTATTATAAAATAGATCGAAATAAACAAAGCAAAATCACAGTTCACGAAACAGCTAAACATCCTTAATTCTCTTTCTTTTTATCAACAATCACGCGTCACGGCTGTAGAACAAATCACATTTCACGACACTAGAATCAACTGCATTTCACATTTCACGCAAACAAATATTGACCATTCCCGGCTGACGAAAATACCCTTTCCCACCCTCTATATAGTGTCTTTGTTGTTTTGTAGCCATTTTTGACGACTTTTTCAAAAACTATGGGGTAGCCCAAGCCTCAATTAACGTTTCGTTGTTGTAAACCCTTTACTTTTTCTGGTAATTTTAACCACTGTTCCCAAATATTGAAAAGTGGTCTCAGCTTAAACTTGGCCAAATAATATGCGAATAGCTAGTTGGACCACTTTTGCAGAAACAAAAAGTGTCTAAAAATGGTTAAGGTTTTTGGCGAACTCCTTAACTTTAGTTGAAAGCAATTAAAGGCTAACCCCTTTACTTTTGGGTCATTCTTTCACAACTGTTTCAAAGTGTAAAAACGTGGCCGAAATTGAATTGGTCTAAAGTTACCGTAAGTGGATTAAACGCCTTCACTTTTTGTTTTTTATTTCGCCACTTTTTCAAAATCAAAAAAGTGTAAAAAAATGCCAAACATGTCGAAAGTAAGTTGTTTTGCTTGGCAAATTTTGATCATGCTCAAAAATCCAGATGTTTGGGCAAAGGGTAAAAATAAAAATAGACAATTCCCGATTATAGACTAATATTGAAACACCAGGCAAGGAGATGCGAATAAATCACAACAGCTAGAAGGAGCATACTAAAATGAGTAAAGCTTGTAAGTTTGGTTGCGAAATGTTGTAAAATGAGGAAAACATAGATCGACTTACGAAGTTCGCAAGTTTTGTATACTTTTGTATTGCGTGCGGAAATTGCTACCACATCCCTACACCCATTACGGCCGAAAATGGTCGCACGCAATACAAAAGTATACAAAATTCGCGATTCCCCCCTTATTACGTTTTCGTAGCGCTTTGCATTGTAGTTATAGTGGTATCCACAATGCAAAGCGTTACGAAAACGTAATAGGGGGGATCGCTAATTGGCGAACTTTGGAAGGCTATATTTTCCTCATTTTACAACATTTCTCAACCAAACTTTGTAATTTTACTAATGGACCTTTCCCCTTATAACTAAAATTTTGATCTGTACAAGTCTAGACAAAAATTTCATCACAGCTTGAAAGAGCATCACAAAATTAATAATATTCTGAAGTTTCGTTGCGAAATGTTGTAAAATGCAGATAATATAGCCTTGCGAAATTTGAAATTTTCAATCATTTTGTATTACAAACGGGAAATTGATGCCCCAACACCCGATTGGGCTGTCAATTCCCCATGCGTAATATACAAATTGATACCCTGGATTCCAGAGTCTTTAGTAAATAAATTGAAACGTCGTGAAGGCTCTGGTTCAACGGGAGGATTCTTTTATTAAACCGCGCCAATCAAAAAACAGAATTAGTGTTTTAGTGCAGAATCTGTACTAAAACCACTAATTCTGTTTTGTGATTGGCGCGGTTTAATCAAAGAATCCTCCGGTTGAACCAGAGCCTTCACGACGTTTCAATTTATTATTTACTGAAGGCTCTGGAATCCAGGGTAACAAAATGACTGAAAAACTATTTTCACACTTTTTTCCAAAAAAATGGACAACAAGTTAAGTGATTCTTATGGCCCTGTTTTGCCCACTTTTCGGCCAAATTAAAAGTTTAGAAGTCTTTCCCCTGGCTAAATGGTTCATTAGTCCTTACTATTAGGCTAATTGAGGACACTTTCTCAAAAACCTCGAAAGTGAGCAAAAATAGCTAACTAAATCATACGGATTTGGCCTTTAGGTTTTGTCCATTTTGCCCACTGATTTAGTCAAATTAAAACCCTCAAAAGTGGACAAACATGCCGAAAAAGCTGGGCAATTTTAATCTTTAACTCTTTCTATAGTGTCACATTAAATAGTATATACTAATTTACAATGTGAATTACATTTAAAATATATAAGAATCTAACGAAGGTTGACGTTAAAGGTATATTTACAAGTAATCTTTAATTAAAAAAAATTGAAGGAACCGACAATTACTTCGACTACAGCCTTCGGTTAAAACTTTCAATCCCATACACAATAGGGACAAAAGCCGTTCTTATTTCATGTCAAACCACCCCAGAAGATTTTTTTATGGCGGTGCCGGAGAACGATTTCATTTTTTTTTAACAAAAGTTCCATATTTCAGCGTTTTGGGAATCGAACCCGAAGACCAAATAGTACTGCGCATCCAATACTGTGTAATCTAGTCGTTCACGTGCATTAGTAGAAATCGCAGCATAAATTGAATGTGTAGATGCGACTTTAGGGAGACTTCAAATGGAACCCGATTATATAAGGTTTTATTAACCGTTTCAGAGCAAGAGATGCAACTGAACAGCTTCAGAAATATTTAATAAATCTAAAATCTCAATCCTATTTATTGGCCAGCAAATACAAATATGCTATATATATAATAAGCCTGGTTTCCATATATGGTTGTAAAAATAGAGTCACGATCTTTCTCAACGGCCAGTTTATAACAGTTTATACCTGTAAACCACATATAAATCATAAGTATCAGTCTAGTTATAATCACTCAGCGTATGCCATTTCTCAAATGTTGTATGTCGCCTGATGAGAAAGATACCTTGGATAAACTGACTAGAACTTACAAACAAACGGTGGTCGATTTAGTCAATTGAGAGGATAGAGTTTAATTTCCTTGTTTTTACAACAAAAGACAACATTTACGAAGTTGACTACTGTCTGTTCATTGAAAGTCGCCTTTACAATTGTTACACATTTGCGCACAGTACTGATTCAGCCCCGACCACGGACACTATTTTTTTGTTTTGGATTTAAGCCAAATGAAAAATCACCGAAGGAAAAACCAGAACTTTCCGCGAAGGCCTGGTCACTATGGACGACGACCCTCGCAGCAAAGACCCGGTGAAAAAACCTTCGGGGATCTTTATAGCACCGGATTTCCGCACCCCGGGGAAATGACCCTGCATCCTAAGTCCGAAATAATTATGTTGCCGGAATCGAAATGTAAAGCCGAATTCGAAATGCATAGCCGAACCCGAAGGCCGAAATTATTAACTACATATGACAATAATTAAACAGATACGTACCTTGTATGTTTAAAGGTATAGAATATACCTTATTATTGTAAAATTGAATTCCCCCGAAAAAAGCAAAACGCCGGCAAACCAGCTGCAAAAATTCGCAAGACAAATACCTCTTAATTGTAGTAACGAATTGTTAATAGCAAGAAATATTTATCTTTTACTTGCGCATTTTAACCAAATGCTCAGGTTTTGCGTCACTTCATTTTTTATCGCTTTGCGGAGATATTTTAAACACTAAAATATTCCCAAAATAATTCGCGCTAATGAATCCAAGGCTCTAAACGTATTCCGCGCTACAGAAGACCTTTGGAACGATTGGATGCATTTTTTGATGTGTGCATTTTGTGCGTTTTTGACTTAATTTATTCGCGCGCGAAGCTTGCTTGCATGTGGTCCGAATATTGCGCAATCTAATGTTGCGCGCAAAATATTTTCATTGTCGCAACTGTGCACAACAATTAATACATACGTCTAATTCGTTTGCGCGGCGTAAATAAGACAGCCCGACCTTTCGACGCGAACTTATTGCATAATCATTTCAAAACTGGCACACATCGTATGGGTACTGATTGTACCCAACCCTATAGCGCAGCGGCTTTTGTTAAATTATGTTAAATTATACTCAGGTTCGACCAAGCTAATGTATGACCAATTGACAGCAACGCTGAATGCAAACATGGAAGCACCCTTCGTTGCTATGACGACCTTACGTGAGCTTGATCTGTAGAGTGTTTTCATGGCAGCCATGTTGGAGAACAAACATGATCGAAACGTGCACGTAATTTCTTTGTTAAGCGCTTTTGTCCGTCAACATAACAACACATGAAAACATTCTTTATCTCTGGCGGTCTTTCGAATAGAAAATTATAGCAAAGCGCGCGCGGCGGCGCAGCAGCAACTTCTTTAAGAAATGGTTCTGTCTCCTGTTTGGAGGAACTGAACATCATTTCTTGTACATTTACAATTAATGCGCTCGCGACTTGATAACTGTAAATGTCTTAACAATTTGATTCTAAAGGCTTTTGTCAGAACTATAGAAAATCTAAGTTCCAACCTAGTTACTTCAGATTCAAATGGCAGAATCGAAATGGCTTGCCTTTATGTTTTTATTTCGTATATTTTTGTTTCTTTTTTTTCCCGATATCTTTTTTTGCTTCTTGTTAAGCCATTTTAGTATGAAGTATATTTGACACGAAAACGGATTCCATTTTCTTGTGGCAAAATACTTTAGATTTCGTATGTGTGTGTGCATCGCGCAGTTTTCCCGCTTCTAAACTGTCTAATCTCACTAACTACTTGCGCGCGCGCGACGGACCATTTATAGCGCAACCGCCCTGAAAAGGAATACCCCTGAACGCGATGTCTCGGCCATGCCCTTAGCTTAACTTAACCTAGTGCATGTCGCACCTATGAGCCACCACAAACAGGGGTAGATTTTTGAATACCTTGCGTTCCGTTAAAGATTTGAGCCGTTGTGACCGCACCATAAGAGAGGGCACCTAGTCACTGGTAGTGGACCGTTTCTCATGAATTTAGCCCAGCTACCAGGAATGCACATGCTTTACCTTACTGCGGGAGAGAAGATGTTTTAAAACTGAATCTTTTGAGTGACTCGTAGAAATTCTCGCTGATCCAAAGGTCCACCACGATTTCCACCAAGTCTTCTTACGGGTACCATTTGCACCCTCTAAGCTAAGGATACCATTTGTACCCCCACTAACCCCAAGGAAAACGATGCCAGCTTAATTTTTCGAAAAAAGATGTTAAAGGGGCAGTGACAATAGTCACTGATAGCATGCAAACGAAGAAATGTTTTTAAAATATGTTTCATCATAGACAATCATAGACAATCTTTGATTGTCTATGGTTTCATACAGTGACAGCTGGTAAATTACTTGAATTTTAACGGCAGCTGAGGTCGAAAAAGCGCCGTCACGTCACTCTTAATTCCTACGGATATTTGGAAAAACAAAGTCAGCTGGCAAAATTTTACTTGTACACATCGTACCTAATAATAACCCTGTCTAAACTACAGCGACGCTGCGCGCTGCGCTTGCAATGTAGAGCACCTAGGCAGTATATTTACACAAAGAGGGAAACATTGGCCTGATATCCGGATTGAGAACCATGCACTAACCATGCAGTCACCATGCAAGTATCATGCAATCAACATGCTATAATCGAAAGCTCAAATACTTCCCTCTTTTAAGATCGATTTTCAAGTCCAGAAGCTGACGACATTTTTAATTACAGTTTCTGCGCGCGAGTATTATAAACATTTGAATGTTCTTTTTTATCGTGCAAGCAACTGAACTTCGAAAATCGACCGAATGTGCAAATATACTGTATACAAGACCGCCAGAATTTTTGTTAGATTGTACCCAGAGACCACTACAACGTGCAAACAACAATTATAGTCCTGGGTACGAATACTAAAAAACTACCGCCTGTTCATAGGCAAACTGGAAAAAACGAGCACCTGAAAATAGTCTTCTCTTTATCTTTGGTTAGCTGTAGCCATAAATATTGATTCATCTTAGTCGTCTTTTGGTACATGTTAGGTATATCCACAAATATCCAATGGCAACCATATTTGTCCATCTTATTCTCTTTGTACATATTTGGTATATCCGCAAATATCCATTGACAACCATAAATGTCCATCTTAGTCTCTTTGTATGCAGAAGGGAACCCGTCGGGCACCGCAAATGAAATTTTTTTCTCACAATTTTACGTTACTGAGCAATATTTGATGAGAAAAATCCTCAAAACTCTTTAAGAAATTAAAGTCTGCATCAAAATGACAAAGGCAAAACGGTGGATAATACCGGACAGACAAACGACTGACCAAAAATCAAAGTACGGTGGCATTTCGCTCCGATTTTTCCTGGCGTGAAAGCGAATTATTCCAATCTCATGCCGTGGACAAAAAGCAGAGATGCAATATTGGCCAGACATTACAATTCTGCCAGTTGTCAACGGTAATTGATCGGAAACATTCGTCAGCAGGTCGGGAAAGGTCGGACCGAAGTGTCACCGAACTTTGAAAAATGCCCAGCCATTCATCTGGCATGATTTAACCAGTGCTTAAACCAAATGCCAATGTGATGTAAGATTTTGTTCCGAATTTTAAAATAATTCCATGTTTGGTCCGTGTTTTTTTTTATCATTTGCGTGTCCTCAGGGAAGCCCTTTTTCAACAGAATCCAATGGGTCATCCAGTAATAATCTGTAAGGCAAGACAAGAATATGTACTATAAGTGCCCATGCATAGCCACAATAATTTATCGCACGATTTTACTCGCTATATTTATAAGTCAAAGAATTTGATGCAAAATTCAGTGCGATACAAGCTCCTATTCGACAAAACGTAGATCTGTTTCAAACATCGCGCTTCTCATGGGCCGAACGCATTAGAAACAATAGATGAGGTATTTCAGCTGATTATATCTATTATTTTTAATGCGTGTTCGGCAAATGAGAAGCACGACGTTTGAAACAAGGCTTAAATAGAGAGACCTTACGATTTTAGAACGGCAACGCGACGGCAACGGCTATCAATACAATAAGTCACTGAAAAGAATTGAATAATTAAAATATATGAATAATTTAGAAATTGTCCTCGCTCTGTTTACAACGCTAAATCACAGATTTTTACGTCTTGATACAACGGCTGCATTTCAAGCCGCAACAAGTGCAACTTCAAACTGGGTTCAGCAGAACTCTTCCCAACCATAAAACCCATGTCTTCAACTTCTAAGACTGTATTAAATTCATACGATTGATAATATACGACGAATTATCTTTACTATCATTTATTTGAAGGAGTTTGTTTTAGCCGTCGTCGTCGCGTTGCCGTCCTAAAATCGTAAGGTCTCTATTTAAATCTATCAGACCAACTTTAAAATCACAAATATTTCGAATACTTTCATATCATTTTGAAGGCAAATTTTACCGTCACCGTCGCCATGTTGAACAACAGTCATTGACAAAGGATTTTGATTGTTTGCAATGCAAATTTTATCCAACATGGCGAATTAAATCTCTTTGTCTTTTGAATCCCATGGGAGTGGTTGTACATGATCTATAGTTAACTATACTGTGCAGACATGTTTTACCTACGTATTTCCAACAATATGTAGATATTTCTACAGATATTTTCTCGCTCGTTAAAACAAAATTTTGTAAAACCACAAAATACTTTACAAAACTTCCCCAGTGCTACGAAGTGTTCTTATTTGCTAAATGAACGCTTTTAGAGCGACCAAGTAACCAATTACCGCAACAATTAAAATGCAAACATGCTTACCGAAGCGTGGCGACGTTTCTTCGATTCTAGTTGAATTTCTCGTCGAATTTTATGCCCTAGAACCAAAGACAAAGCGAAATTAGTTGTGTGAATAAAACTAGGGGAGTTTTAAAGATTTTTACGAGAAAATGTGGCAGAAATAACAAGAAAATAACACTATATCCTAAATAACTTACCAAGTGAAAGGGAAGCGTGTCTAGCCTGTGTGTATACTCTTGATTCGAGTTCAATTTCCCATCGAATTTTATGCTCTAAAACCAAAAATATAGCTAGAATTAGTTGTGTAGATTAAACAGAAGGTGTTTTAAAACATTATTACAACAAAATTTGACAGAAATATTAAGAAAATAACATTTTTATAGCTTACCAAAGTGAAGCGAAGCGTAGCTGCATGTGAACACTCGTGCAGTCTTCGATTCGAATTTCTCGGCAGATTTTTATGCATGACTAAAACCACAAATAAAGGTAGACTTAGTTGTGTAGAGAAAGCCTAGGTGTTTTAAAACATTATTACAACAAAATTTGGTATAAATATTAAGAGACTAACGCCGTAAAGCGAGCAGAAATATGCCGACGAAAGCCGGCTAGTGAAATATATTTGTGTATTCTCAAATCGAATTTTGCTCGCTACTCATTAAACTATGGCTATAATATATTTCTGTAAGAAAAACATGAACCATTCACTAACCTTTCAACTTCATTTTATCTCGTCATAACCATATTACAAACGTTTGAAGTTCTTCAAATTTCAATGGCAAAATTTTCTATCAATTCACAAAATGGTGACCACGTGTTTGTGAAATTTTGATATTTTAAATCTGCCACGAAATTTGGAAAACACGCCTTCGCTTCGCTCATTCCTATTGGTTTAATTTTAACGTGCTCCAATTGGTTCGATGTGCACAAAATGTGTTTCTGATTGGCTCAAAAATTATTGTAATCGTTAGCCGCAAATATTCGAAAATTAAGCAACCGCATTTTATGCAAAATAATTAAGGTGTGCTCGACGAAAAAAATCATGTATTTTCGATAGCTTATTTGATCATGAAAGAACATATGGAATGAAAGTATTTTAATTCGATAGAAGTGGAGTACTTAAGATAGTACATCAACTAAAAAAAGTTTGGCGTATATTGGATAAGTTGCATGAGAGCACTGCCTCTGGCAGTGAAGCCAACTTTTTCCGGTGCGAAAAATACGGGGTCGCGTGAAAATTAATATCTCCAAATGTATTATAGGCGAGAGCCTAAAACTTTCAAGATATTATAACCAATGCTTGAGCTATGCTAGGAACTAGAATCAACTAGATATAGTCATCTCTTCATAATTATCTAGCATCCTCAATAATGGTGGAGAAAAATGCCCTGCATTGACTGAGCAAAATATCCATAACTCAGTATATTGATTACGAACTCAAGTATTAGGTTAAATAGATATGTCAATTTTTAATTTCAGAAAGCAAACCTCCAACCCAAGAAGGCAGTGAACAGACAGGAACAAAACCAGGAGAATCAACCGAAACCACACCAGAAGGCGCTGGTACTGACGTTATTACACCCAACGAATCAGCTGGTACAGACACCACTACCACAACTGGTACAAAACCAGGAGACACAGATGTTATCACCCCAACGGATACTGATACAACTGGCACTCTACCTGGTGAGTCTATACTACTACCACATAATAATAATTATTATATACCGAGGTTGAGGTGAATATCCTTGAACTATTTACCGAGACCGAGGTGACTACTTGTTTTAACAAGTACCATAACAAAACGAGGATCGACCCCACGATCTCAGAGATGGAAGGAGCATGTTCTGACAATGCCCGACATTGATTGAGGAAAATATCCACAACTCATTACTGGTTGTACCAAACTCAAGTATTAGGTTAAATAAAGGTCAATTTTTAATACCAGAAAGCAAACCTCCAACCCAAGAAGGCAGTGAACAGACAGGGACAAAACCAGGAGAATCAACTGGAATCACACCAGAAGGCGCTGGTACTGACGTTATTACACCTAACGAATCAGCTGGTACAGACACCACCACCACAACTGGTACAAAACCAGGAGACACAGGCACAGATGTTATCACCCCAACGGATACTGATACAACTGGCACTCTACCTGGTGAGTCTATACTGCTACCACATAATAATAATTATTATTATATATCAATAGTCAAAGTCGCATTTTTCTAGTGTTTTATTGGTTGAGAGCATATCACGTGAGAGTGACGAAATTAGGCTGTCTCCCTC